GGGGGGGGGGGAGGGGAACAGCTTAGCTGACAAGGTAGCGCGGCAATGTCACTGTCTGTCGGTAGACATACAGAACAATGCACTCGGCATTAAGTCGATAATTCAGGTCTCTGTACAAATATCTGCCATTCAAATGGAAAACTCCTCTGCACAGTAATTTAACTCGAAATCTGGACTTGTTTAACACGAACTGTCAGGCAAATGCCAATATTGTTCTTATTACTATTACGATAAACAAACTTAATTAACTTCATAGAACGGAACCCATCTTAAGGAGAGATAAATAGCTAAGCGAGTCGATAAATTCATGGTTCATTACCATGTTCACAGCAGCCCGCCACTGGACCCTTTCCTTAGGCAGATAAATCCGTCTGCACCCTCAAGTTACTGCCTCAAGACCCCATGTTTGTATAAATGTCTCATCCACACTCACGGATTTTGTCATGTATTCGATTTATAGCTACATTATACTGAAACGCGAGAAGATTTCAAGTCTGTCGGCGTTAAAATGTTCACGAAGATCATTGGAATCTGATGGACAATCGAGATAAACAATGAAAAGTTGTACAAATGTATCACAGTTACTTATTATAATTAAAATTATATGCCGATTAATAACATATAAGCGGGTTAGACATATTAAAATTACATATCTCTGGTACCAGACAGTTCAAGTGATATTTTTTTTATATCCGGTATAAATCTGAGATTGTTTTATACCCAGGATTTAAACATTTGGAAATAATGTTGAAATAATTTATTTTTGTTTAAATTAGAGTCACAAAATTGTATTCATATTACGATGTTGGTCTTTTGAGTTGTGACTTCAATATAGACTCGTATGAACATAACAACGATTCGGAGAAACACACTGCCTTCATCTTCAGGGCTTAAATGGCGGTGCTGGGAAGCGGGGAGTTTTTATGGGGGGGGGGTGTCATAACCCGGAAGAACAACATCGTTATAATCAAGAACCTCAAATCACGTTTGTTAAGTCTTGAGTGTCTGTACCGTCTCGAGATATTTTTTTTTCTTAAGATTCCCTCACACATGGGAAGGAACATACAAGTCATTAAAACATGGGAACAGTCACATTACAATAAAAATTACAACACGAAATTTTCATCAAACACTCACCTCCCAGTCTAAGTTCGGCGGATCCTTGAGCCACTTCCAACTGGTTCTTGACGAAACATTGGTACATCCCCCGGTCCTCTTTCGACACAGCCGATATATGAACTCTGTCGTCTGAAGACTGACGTATTCTAGCTCCGGTCCGCAGGGGGTGGCCGTCCTTCAGCCAATGAATGGATGAACGAGGGAAACCAGAAATACTGCAACGAAACGTGGCGCTTTTCCCCAGGTCGACCCTCTGGCGACTTGGATGGACAAGGACTTGCAGAGGCGAACTGACGCTAAGCTGTACCTCCAAGGTCTCGCTTCCCTCCTTGTTGCTGGCATTGCAGAGGTACGTACCAGCGTCGGACTCCCTGACTGTAGTTATAACGAGGGTACCATCGCGAACGATGTGTCTCTCGGTGCCGTCCAGCGAAGTCTCGTGTCCGTTCTGCTGATGGTACACCCATCTGCAATATGGACGCCGTCAGGTTAAATGTTTTGTTGAAGTGCCTCGTCGTGGCTTACGCTCACCGATTGTCAAACAGAAGTGTCTAAAATTCTTTCGTATTCTGTACATCATCAGTCAAAATACGGCCCGAACAACGCTATCATAAGACAGCTTTCAAATTAACAATTTTCATACACACATACAGGCTAATTACGGCCTTATATTCCCGAAAATCATGTCACTGCCCCCCCGGGGGGCCCACAGATTTCACTTTGGGAAACGCTGTTGCAGACAACAACCACTTCCTTCCACGTATTTCGGAACTCACCATTTGAACTGCACTGTAAGAGAAAAGGACTCACTCGTTAGGAGACCTTAAACGAGGATTAAAAATGTGCAAATACGTCTTCTGGGTTATTGAGCCGTGGAGTCTGGTAGAAGTCTACGGACGTTTCAGTGGTATTTGATACCTCAATCCTCGGGGTGATTAGTACTGATAACGGAGGCAGAAAGTACCTATGAAACGTCGATAAACTACTACCAGACTTCACGGTGCAACCACCTAAAAGATAGCCATCTTCATAATAGTCGTCTCGAAGTCCACTGTTGATAAAGCTGACTAAAGACAAGGTTTTCCTCGGGTTTAGTTTTGAATACAATCGAAATCTAAATAAATGTTACAAATCACACGATCCCGTATATAGATTTTAATCTGGTGTATCCAAAACACATTTTGCAAGGCAGACGGATTGTTAGAATTCTATTACGTTTTTCCCTGATACAAATCAAGTTCACATCTTACCAGTGAAGACAACTATTGAATTCGCTCGACCACTTTTAGTGGACACCTCCCATTCCAAACCGCGTTTATTTCAAAGACGGCAGCACAGCTTGGAGGCGAATTTGGCGGGTTGCAGCCAGCCAGGCGAACCCACAGTTCCGGATTCCCTTTGTGCAACCGAACGCAAAGAACGCACGCCAATCGTACAATTAATTCAAAATGGGGCAAAATAAAATAAAACATTCGATTCTACGAAAACTGGGAAAAAAAATCGACGTTGTTACATTTCTGCGTACGTCAGCCGAGCTGGCTGTCCGTTACCACATCGCCTCATCCCGTTGACAGCTGACGGGGTAACAATAAAAAGGGAAATGTATCGTGGCACGTGTGTTTCGACGGCGGAATCCATGCATGAAACTATAGTCGCTTTGACGCTCTCTGCCTGATGGCTTTTAGAGTCCGAGCCAGTTTTAAACTGAGATTAAAAGAATATCAGAAATCCGTCTTTTGTAAGATTTCTATTGAGCTAGTTCTGTAATGCAGAGGATGCCACAATGATTCGAAATACTTTGTATGCAGACAGAAAGTACGTCGTTAATAGCTCAAAGCGCTGTTCATAAAAAGAAATACTGTACCAGAAATTGACGACGCATTTTTTCCTTTAGCAATGCGGAACTGCAAAGCTTAACCTAATACACGAATAAAATTAAAAATAATAAAAAGGATATAAAACGAGGGCGTATTTTGACCCATGAGATATGACGGGGTGAGTGGAGGAACTTATACAGTCATACCTCGTAGATATTGCGGGTTCGGTTCCAGATCACCGCAATAAAGCGAGTCACACGAATTTCTTGGTTTCCCAGTGCATATAAAAGTTATGTTTACACTATAATGTAGTCTATTAAGCGTGCAATAGCATTAGGTCTAAAGAAACATTGCGATAATTACCAAAATGTGACACAGAGACACGAAGTGAGCACGTGCTGTTGGAAAAATGGCGCCGATGGACTTGCTCGACGCAGGGTTGCCACAAACCTTAATTTGAAGGGAAAAAAAATCAATATCTGCGAAACGCAATAAAACGAGGTATGACTGTACTCAACAAACAAGATCTTACATGCATTTCCCATCTCTCCAATGCGTGTTGTATTCATGTCGTATCTTAACATCCTTGATCCGAACACCATAATATTTAGTTAAGAGTTCGATTTATAAAGCTGTCAATTATTCATTACTTTTTTCAGATTTTCACATATACTAGAGAGTAAATAATAAATACAAGAAATAAAACAAAATCCTAATGGACAAACTGAGTGCGTAGTTGTGTTTAAATATGCAAACGTAAACCGTAGAAATGTAATCAATCATTGGCGTAAACGTCAATATAGAATGCGATATACTTGTTTGAGTGTTCATTAATGATGCTGATGGACGTGATGACTAAAGGGGTGGGTAGATTGACTGACTGTTGTCTTCCATCCAATAACAGCCACGGACAAACCCGAGCCGTTGATAACTATTCAGGTCATCGTATGATTTACAATAACCCGAAGGCTTGTCGCCGTCAGAACAAAATTACGCCCTTCAAGAAGCTAGTCCAACACAATTATCTTCAGAAACGATTTCTCTATTTAAAAATATCACCAATGAAAATATAGTATTCATTATTATTTCCACATGCGTGCTACACGCACCGATCATCTAATATTCCCTAAATGTACCACGGAAAGAATACAAAGAATGAGGGTCTTACTTATATAATTTTCTCCATTTTGCAGTTAGTACATATTTGTTATATCGAGACGCTCCGGTCCAAATTTAGTTCCGATATTTTTATTGCAATAGGGGTCAAACTCATATAATAATAAAAGGGATTAAAGTTTGATTAAAGTGGATTAAACATGCTTAAGTGAATTCGCAGTAAATTTGCGGAAGAAATGAGCGTAAAAACAGCCCAATTGATCAACGAACTGTTCATATCTCACATAACAGGTTTACGACGTATCTCAAATGGGCGCTTTTCGTCCGAGCAATTGCTCACGTGAAAATTTAAGAACTCCATAAAAAATAGTGAAGACTCGGAAGATAAAATATTATTAAGTGAATTTTAGCACGTGTTTTCTGGGTTTACTGTGCTCAGAAACCTGAAGATGTTAGTTAACTTTCGGACTATATAAAGATACATTCATGGCGGAATGCGTTTATCAACCGGTGAATGCGATTCGGCGTAGTTCGGCAAATTGCATTGCATTCAATTGAAAAGAAAGCTATTGATCAGCAAAAATTGGTCACGTAATGAAATTATATTACGCTTTGAAAATTAAGCATCAATTTTCCTGGCTAAGCACAATTAGTAAATTACATTGAAAGTCGTATTGCCGTGGTGCAGGCTACCAAATATTAATTTATATACAGCGTATGGTAGTCGACACTCACGATTTTAAAATGAGTGCTGACTGTTCCATAAAAAGTACGTAATTACAATTTATAAATTTCCACAAACCTGCCCGTGACAGACCCAACCTAAAGCCTCCGACCCTAACACAGGCTACTCTGTTTTCTAATGAATAAACACGTGACATATTCATAAATCTGAATATTTATTTTATTGATATTACAAATGACTTTCATACCAAAAGTTCGGAAATTCTTTTGTTCGATGACGACTCAGGTCATTCGGTCCGTTCTGGTCCTCTGAATTGAGAAGTCGCGTAGTCCTGCAGATGGTTACCGACGTTTCGGAGGAAGTTTGGTAACTACTGACAAGACCACATTGCTTTGTAAAAAATATCGCCCATAATGGACACATTCACTGCAGTGAGAACCTCAGATCTCAGTTTTTACACAAGTCTGTCTGTCCGCATTTAACAGCTCAATAATTACTAAACGGATTTTTATAAATTTGTTTTCCGGGAGATTTAATAAAATGTGTCTCGACAATTTCCGCTTCGGTTAAAATCGGATAACATGAGCGGGCATTTCACACAAACATCTACACGAGTTTCTGTGCTTATCTCTGGGCACAAGATGCTAATTTGTATTGGAATCAAAAATATATTTCGAACAAAAGCGATACGGGTTAATAAAACAATTTTAAACCTTGCATTCTTTACTTAATCCTCTCAAATATCGAGATAATTAAACACCACGGATATTTTCACTGTGTCATCTCGTACATCGAGATTGATTCTGATAATATTTTATATTGCGGGGTTCCAACTCGTCTGACCCGCCGACTTTAAGCATCAAAAGTTATCATTCAGAAATTAAAAACACAGAAACAACACGCCAGAACTGTTACCATACGCGAACACATGCTATCTTATATCATCACTTTGAGCTGGTGTACATTTGTACCAAAACGTTTCGCGTGGGTGTATTTCGTTTCATGTCGGAAAAATTTACAACCGAAAACAAAGAAGGGAGGATTATAAGAGATTAATATTTGCAGCTGAATTAAATTCTGAACATGTACATAGTTTTTAAACATTACATTCTATTACTCCATTATATTCTAAGCGCCAGCTTCAAAATGAAGCAACAACACACAATATACTCAAAGCAGCCATACGCACGCACAGTATTAGTTATACGTAATATAGCTACCTATTACACAAAACGTCTCTGTGGTCTTTTGAAGTGTTTGAAGTCTCTCTTTCAAGGCATTTGCGTTTCTAGAATCACTTCACTATAATGGCCGCAGGGCGCACACACACGTCTCTACAAAAGGCATGGACAGAACAGACGCCGGTAGGCACTACACGGTCCTTAAGCCGAGTGAGGCTCTCACTTCACTTACATTCTCGAAGATGGTGGGACCCTTTATTCAAAATAATGCGCCTAATTACACTTAAGAAGTTTTAAAGACGAGTGGAAATATTAAGGGAAAACAGATTCAAATTATAAAACTGGCGATACCGCGGAGCCTACGATCAAATACGGGGCACGCGGCGTATGTAACAAAATGCAGACGATATTATTTACATTTTACACTGACCAGACTGTGTTCAAACTGATCAAAAATTCAAAACAAAGAACATATTAATTAGGCGTTAAGCGAACTGCGAAAACAAAAACCGATACATTCGACACACAAACAAAAATTATGCCATAAAATATCAACGACGCTGTAAAAAAAACTATACCGAAACCCAAAAACCGAGCAATGGTTTTGCGATTTAAGTATGATCTTGGTACCATATTGTCCTAGAGTTTTACAGTGATAACACAGGTACAAAGCACAAATGCATACATATTACACGTGGAACCTAACATCCATTAAGGGAATGATGTGTGTGTTTACTTACCTGTACTGGGGCCGGGGGTTGGCGTAGGCCACACACGGCACTACGATGGTCTCGTCGACCTTCGCAGTCAGGATCATCAGCCTCTCATTCAGAACGGGAGGCACCCGACCTCGGATATCTATTTGAAGAAAACAGTTGACATGTAGAGTTATTATTATTATTATTATTAGTGTTCTGTCTGACGACAGGTCCATATGAACAGGATCCTTCCATCCTTTTCTCGGACTGGGACCTCTTCATATACGTTCTTGGCAGATGATCCAGAAGTGGTTTGCCATTGCCTTCTTCTGTGTGTGAATGGAGTAATTGTTGGGATGCCACGGAGGAAAACTCCGTGTTGCCTAGACCACGGCCATGCCCTAGCGTTCTAATGCACGTAAATTTATAAGCATCGGAGAAGAGACGCCATTTGCTTTTCTACACGTACTTCAACCAACCGCTCGGTTTACGTTTGTAATACAACGTAGTTAGATAAAATTAATTAATTTTGCAATAAAATAATCTCAAAATTTCGTCAGCGAATCATGAATTATAATAAAAATACCTTCAATTTACACAAACACACAGACACTATAATAATTTTTTTCTCCTTCATTCGCATTTGTCCCGAATTTGCAGGGTCTGTGTTTTTACCTCTCTTGGAGGTTTATGATTGATCTATTTTTGGACATTGGTAGAACTCCTTGCATGAGCGATCAGCCCTATCTACAAGGACTATCATAATTTCTTAAAACACGAAAATCACTAAACAGTTCAGTTCGGATATTCACTTTACAACATCAAACAAATTCATTTTACTCGCGAAACATAGAAGCAAATTTTAACACGACTCTCGGTAGCTTTAACTTTTACAGGAAAAGTTCTCAGCCCTGGGGAAACGGCCGTTAAAATCTCTCAGTCAGTCCGTACAGACAAACGAAACTCGAGAACCGATAAAGCGATTATGATTACATGTGATATCGGAGAATTTACGAAAAATGCAGAACCATTTAAATTTTCATTTTATCGACGAATTTAAAGACCACTTTACCACAACGAGTTAAGATTCTGTCAACGTAATCTTATCATACGAGGCCATTCTACAGGAAATCTAGTAGACTACACGGCGCAACGACCCAGAAGACAGCAAACTTCACAGTCACCGCTGTGAAAACCTCAAATCCTACGTAGGAAAATAAATGCTTCAATTGTTTCAGCGAAGACAACAAAGATAAAAAGATGAATAATTTCCAAAATTTATACTCAGTTTTAAACCAGACTCGTTTTGTTGTGTTACATTACTGATATTACAGTATAGTTTTGAATTTAATATTAAAGATACTACATATATGTGTATTTATATAATTTCCATTCAATTACGTCTAATAACAGCGAAGCCTTTATTCATTAAAATACACAGTTCGACGTTTCGCCATTTTGAATAAGTATCAACTAACTGTAAATAGATTCACGTGATTTAAGAGATATTCGTCGTCTAATTATTCAGTTTAGTGAAGAGCTTTAGGCCTGCTTTTGTGCAATAAGATAAAAAGAGGGACTGGAACCGAATGGGACAATGTTGGAGGCAATAAGAACCTCCGAAACGTCGGTAAACGTTTACCAAACTACACGGCGCTGCAAACCAGAGGACTGTTATTTTCGTACTCGCAGCTGTGACAACCTTCTATCTCACACAAGCCTGTGTTCTGAGCAGATGTTAATTTAAGTAAGTAAGTAACTCCGTTGAGCAGAGACATTCTTAAGAAGCTAATAGCCGCTGAGTTAGTCAAGAAATTCCCCTGCTTTTATCAACACGAAAGATCACTGAAATGTTCACAGGTCCCAGTTACGAGTATTTATCCTGATCAAGATAAAGCCAATCAACGCTTCACTTCCTGTTCATCCATTTTGATATTCAGTCCCTTTGAGGATTTCCAATCAAAATCTTGTACACAGTTATCATATCCCCTACCCCCATCCCTCCATTCATTGGAAGTGTGTATACATGATTTGATCACACGAATGATATGCAATTTGGTGAATGGCACAAGTTAGGATGCTTCTCGCCGTACAATTTTCTCCGTTCTCCTCTCACATCATTCCTCCTGGGAATTACGCAAACCGCATGACTCGTAATCTTTTGCGCGCGCGTATGGATGTCAGCTTATACCTCTAGACCTATTACACCTATTTGTACCAAACGTGACATGGTTATTCCTTGAGGTTAGAAAGAGGTTTTAGAAAGGTCAAAGCTTCACCGAGTTCCAGCCCCTGTATCTCAGACACTAACCACAAAACACAGGTTAACTCCTTCCCGATCTTGTTTTTGAACTAATTTCGAACATCCTTCGAAACAAAAATGTTTCTTGCTTTGTTTAGAAACGCCGCATCCAATGAAAAAATGAGGAATGGTGGGATAATTATGATCTACTATGGTATACAATCTGATTATTTATCCGGACGATTTTAGAGAGATCTAGATTACGAGGCCAAAATATTGATCGGGAAGTTTCGGATCACGTAGCTTCTAGATTGCAACGTTCGGTCGGAAGTCGAAAGTTTTTGTGTCGTAAATCGATCGTAAAATTTTGTCAGTATCGTCTTCATTGTTTTGTACTCTATCCACCGTCAGTCAAGTCTTTTTTTTTTAAATCTAAAACCGGTGTAACGTTTTGAAGGGCACAACTTCGTCTTCAGGAGGGAGGGAGGGATAGAGGGAGGGGGAGAGAGAAAGAGAGAGGAAGAGAGAGAGAGGGAGAGAGAGAGAGAGAGACCTACTCTGTTCGATTCGATGGGCCCAGCTATTATGGATCACAGATCAGAAATAGTTGTCTCAACCTGATCCAACAAAGTAGGCTTTATTTTTTATATGGAGACGGAGAAAGATCCGTCTTTTGAAATGTTACGGTTTTCAAAGGATTTTCTTTAAAAAAGTATTATGCAAGAGACGATGGAAAACTCCAAAGAAGAACAGAAATAAATGCCATTGGCAAAGATATTCAGAAAAGAAAATTTATCCTGTCCGAAGGCTGCAGTTAGTACACCTAAACATGGTTTTCTCTATAACTAGAGGATCAATATAATTGTCTACGCTAAACACATGCATGTAAATTTCAGTTTATTCTGATCTATGACCTATAATGCAATCTGCAGATTTTTATTTGCAATTATATAAATGAATGAATATTTAATTAAATATTCTCAAATTTAATAAAACATTAAAACACAACCGAAATATTGTCTTTAAATGTATTAGCATGACATATGCTCGGATGTAAAACACCCTTTTGACTCAATTTTATGTAACACGCATAATCGCTAGTAATTCCAAATTTCATAACTTCGTCATAATATATTTCATAAAAAATATTTTACTCGTAAAATATATTTATTTTATCACTTCTCCGTTGAACAAATTCTCGTTTCACTAAATGCATTTCAGGCGCGTTCAAACCCTGCGGGAAACATATCAAAACTTCTCCGTCCATCCGTCCGTCCGAATAAAACAGAACTAGAAAGGATACATAGATTTTGATTTGATATTAGAGAAAGCTACAAAACGGACCGTGGAACCCAATCAATTTTAATTTACAGCGAACAAAAACAAACCAAAACTTTAGAACGAATACACAAACGGAGTTTAGACTGTGATTAAGTAAGATTCACTCTATTCTATTAATTTAAAGCTCTGTTACAGCAAGATTTTGAATTTTTTTCTGAACAAATTCCATACATTTTTCTCTCATTGCGTATTAATAACAGCGAATAGTGAAGAATTAGGCAGCGAGTGTTTATTTGACAGATATGAATAGATTATGGGACAGATATGAATAGATTATGGGAATGGGCGGTAGAAAATGAAATGAAGATAAATCCAGGTAAAAGTAAAGCAGTCAGCTTCAATAGAGCTAGGGTGAAGGATAAGCTGAGTTACTTTTTTGGGGATCAATTAATTCCAGAGGCAAATAGCTTTAAGTACTTAGGAATACTTATTCGCAGTGATCTGAGCTGGGCAGATCATGTGAATTATACACTAATTAAAGCATGGAAGGCTCTCCATTTCGTAATGCGTATACTAAAAAAGGGAAATAACAATACGAAACGTTTAGCTTATACGTCGCTAGTGAGACCGATACTTGAATATGGAGCTGTGTGTTGGGACCCTTACAGGGAAGGACAGGTAAGAGCACTAAATCGGGTGCAGAAGAGAGCGGCTAAATTTGCTAATTTCACGAACGAATCTGGTTGGGAAACATTGGCACAGCGTAGATTGATAGCCCGAATGTGCGCCCTTTTCAAAGCATACACGGGGGGCCGGGCTTGGAAAATGATAGAGGATAGATTATTAAAGCCATGCTACCTGGGCAGGGACGATCATACTCGGAAAATTAGGACTAGGAAACAAAGAACGGATGTAGGCAAATATTCCTTTGTAAATAGGACCATAAGAAGCTGGAACCAATTACCTCCAGGCGTGCTAGAGTCTTTCCCCTGTAAATTAGGCACCTTTAGAAAGAGGGTCAGAAAAGTAGTTACAAGCTAAGGGTTATTAAGTTGGGAATAAATGGTGATAAGTGAAGTGAAGTGTCTTAGTCTCCAAGTGATGAAGGGCTGTAGTTCTTTGGGATAAAATTTTCATGTACTGAGAGCGGACTTTATATTCCACTCTTAAGTATTGTGATTAATTAGTGGATGTGTGTTTTTTTATTGTGTGTCAGATGTTTTATTTTGAGTGTGGTATGTTGTATTGTTGTGTCTCATTGTATTGTTGTGTGAGTGCATCAGTTCATGACGTTTGTAATACATTACAGTTATTGTCTTATGTCTAGGTGGTATTAAGTTCTTTTTTTTAAGTTAAGTACTTGAGGTTGGATGGTTTTGTAATTTATGAGTTGGTTGATTTTGAGTGGGATGTGTTGTTTTTGTTGTGTCCTTTTTTATTGTTTTGTTCTGTCTCTGTGTTGATGTATCTCATTGTATGTTGTGTCTTATGGTTTTTGTTGTGTCCTTTGTTTATTGTTTTGTTGTGTCTCATTGTGTTGATGTATCCCATTGTTTGTGTGTCATATTGTTTTTGTTGTGTCCTTTTGTTTATTGTTTTGTTCTGTCTCTGTGTTGATGTATCTCATTGTTTATTGT